CACGTGGAATATGAGTTTCACTTTTTTTTTCGTGCTTCATGATGCGCAAAAAAATTCGTTGCACACCCCTCTATATTTATGACCCCTGCTCGTAAATACATACTGCGGTACAGCAATCCGCAATACGAAGTGCTTCTACTTGGTATCGTATCATACTTACTATTACTAGTGCTCGTGTCGCGGCGCGGGCACCCAAACTGGTTCTGCTTGTGAGCAGTATGGTACGTACGTATGGTACGTATCGAAACGGCCTCGGGGGTCTTGCTCCCTTCGGCAAACGCCGGACGAGGAACTTCCACCCCTCAAAAGAGAGCAACGACGGGGAGCTTGTGTTGGGCCCAAGGACGGGGGAGCTCGCAATCAACACGGACCTTCCAGGGGAGGAATGCGGATGGAACGGTCCGGTACGAAAAAAGGATGTACAGTATGGTACTGTGGGTACTACCAGCGGTAGGATTATGTCGTACTACTGTAATATTGCTCTAGCACTGATCGGGCCGCGTCGTTCTCGTTCTCGGCGCCGCTAGCGACGAGAACAACGCGGCACCGTGCTTGCCGCCGCCGTCCTGACCCTGTCGCTACAACCGGATTCGAATCCGCGAGAGAGATCCCTTGGGTCCTTCTCGGGTTTGGCCCCACCGGAACGGCAGGGGCAGCGAACGGCCAGCCCCTCGAGGGTCCGGGCGTGTGCGTGTGAATGTAAATGTAAATGTAAACGTGCTCATCCGATGGTGATGTCCGTCTTCACCCCTTCCAGGGTCCCGTCCTTGCTGGTGTCGCGGTTCACGCACTTGCGGTAGAGGTCCCGGAAGGTCTCCAGGGCCTCCGGGGTGGTCAGGCCGTCCAGGTCGTCCATCTCCTCCGGGGACAGCTCAAAGTCAAAGACCCCCGCGTTCTCGGCCATGCGGTCCTTCCGGACGGACTTGGGGACGTACACAAAGCCCCTCTGGTGGCACCATCGGCCCAGGACCTGCGCGGGGGTCCTCCCCCGGGAGGCCGCGATCCTGGCAACGGTGGGGTCGTCGAAGGCCTTGCCGTCCCGGAGGCTCCGGTAGGATTGGAGGACCACGCCCTCCGAGAGGAACCGGTCGATGGTCTCTCTCCGGTACAGAAAGGGGTTGATCTCGATCTGGTTGACCAGGGGGAGGTCGGTCACCCCGTCGGCCTCCTTAAGCTCGAGGTAGTCCTCCCAGGAATAGTTGCTGACGCCGATCCCCCGGATCTTGCCGGCGGCCGAGAGCTCCTGGAGCTTCTTGTAGGCCTCGACGTGCTTTCCCGGGACCGGCCAGTGGATGAGGTACCTGCGAAGGCCGCAAAACAAGGGGGGTCGGTGTTCCGTCCGTCCGGGGAGCGGCAGCGGGTCCGGCGGACGCAAGGCCCCCCACAACAAAACAGAACAGAACAGAACAGAACAGAACAGAACAGAACAGAACAGAACAGAACAGAACAGAACAGAACAGAACAGAACAGAACAGAACAGAACAGAACAATGCAGCGCGCAACACAATACCAAAACAGAGAAAAAAAAGGCCGGAGCGTCGGTGAGAGCAAGAAAAAAAAAAAGAAACAAGCCCGCAAGCCGCCAGAGCACAACCGCCACAACAACAACAACAAAAACCACAACAGCAACAACCACAGCCACAACGACGACGGCAACGCCTACGCACAGGTCGAGGTAGTCCGTTCCCAGGTCCGAGAGGGTCTGCTCGAGCTGGGCTTCGACGGCCTCGGGGCCCTCCTCGATGGTCGTCGTCCAGACCTTGGAGCAGAGAAAGAGGTCCTCCCGGGGGACCCCCGAGGCGGCGATCGCCCTCCCGACGTCCGCCTCGTTCCCGTAGAACTCGGCGCACTCCAGAAAGCGGTATCCCAGCGCCAGTGCGTCCCCCACGCACTCCTCCGCGGTCCGCCCGGGGGAAGACGCCGAAGCGGCCCCGGCCGTTGCGACCGCCGACGAGGCCGAGGCCGGGACGAAGCCCACCTTGTAGGTCCCAAAGCCGATGGAGGGGTGGGACATTCCGTTCCGGAGGGGGATCGACGGGGCGTCGGCCAGGCAGGGCAGCGGCGGCGGGGACGACGAGGAGGACATCTCGAGCCGAAGGAGGGATCCCGGGGCGGCGGATCCGGAAGGGGAAAAGGCGGAGGAGGGGCGGGATGCGGTGCTGGCGAGCAGGGCGTACCGCGCGAGTCTCATGGGAAGGCCGGTAGGTTTGTTCGTTCCGGTCTCGTCCGGTGTGTTCCGTTTCCGTTTTTGTTTTGTTTTCTTCCGTTTCCGTTTTGTTTCGTTCGCTTCTGTGCCGGCGGGGCAAGCGCAACGGTGCCGATTGGTGTGGGTGTTGGTGTGAGTGTGGGTGTGGTGGTCGTCGTGGATTCTTCCGTGGGAAGGAATCACCGTGTTGTTGTTGTTGGTGTTGTTGTTGGTGGTGGTGGTGGTGTTGTTGTTGTGCTGCTGGTGCTGGTGCTGGTGCTGGTGTTGCTGGTGTTGCTGTTGCTGTTCAGTTGCTGTTGCTGTTCAGTTGCTGTTGCTGGCTGCTCCGGTGCCGCGTCCGGAAGGGGGACGAAGGCCCTCGCTCGTTTTGCAGAAAGCCGGTGTCGGGAAGCACCTACCGGTACCGTACGGTATCGCAGCGTAGTAATCGTACGAGTACCATACCGCACTGGACAAGTACGAGGAACAAACCCTAATGCATAAATACACGTGTACAGTAAGTGACTAAAATACGTACCGTAGTAGGCATGTAATTGGTTCATCCTGATGCGCTCCATGTGCATTCCATTCGCGACCTTTAAAATATATAT